TACGTCCGAGAGACAGGCCGACAGATGTGTCACCCTCCAAACATGGGAAAATGCCCTAAAAATGCTGAAGACACAGGAGCGTCCCTTCCGTGGAGGCCAAGCTGTGCCGCTCCAGCCAGGCCACACCGGGAGTCACTCGGGGACACTGCACGGCCACCTGTGCCGCGTGAGTGGACCTGAGGGGACGGTCCCCGGCCCTCTCTGGCACCTTCAGGGAGGGACGTTCTCCACCTAGGTTCTGTCGTGGGACTTGCCGTGTCTGTGCTCGCAGGGAAGGGGGGAAACAGTAGCACAGGCTGCTCCGTGGCAACCACGGCTCGTGTCTGGCCATGACAGTGCTGGGCTCGGCAGCGCCACCCCCTGACACCACGTGAGTGGCCTCGGTGCTCTGCACACACATGTGGGTGAGTCCCCGCCAGTGACCCAGCCCGGGAAGCAGCCTGCCCCCCAGCGAGGCCCTACACCGCAGTGATCCTGGCTCCCTGGAACCCCTGGGCAGCCCCCCGGAACGGACCCAGCCCACCCAGCTGGACTCAGAGCTTCTGGGAGCCCCCACAGGCCACAGCTGGAACCACAGATGTGCCACGTTCAGTCACGCGATAAGCCACGGTGCCTGGACGGCCGTCTCTCCTGAGACCGGCGTTCGCTGCCGCGGCAACCGCAGCGCCAGGTGAACGCGATGCTGAGGTCTGCAGACCTGCACACTCTGCATTCTCTCTCCCTCCCAGTCCTCTTGATTTCAGCCAAGCACGCCTCTGTGCGGCGAATTCCACCTCCGCCTCCTCCTCCCGTATCACGCTTTTGTGCCACGGTGTTGCGGCATAAATCTCCTTCAGAGAAGCGGACGAGAATTCCAGCTCAGGGAATCGCCAGAGCAGTGCGGCCTCACACTCGGGTTGTGCAGACAGAGACAGGCACAAATAAACCAACCCCGACTTCACCGGAAAGGACACCTGTGTTTGGTTCCAATTCTCGCCAGTCACAGAGGAATCCAGCCTCGGCCCTGCCCACGGTGTGGCCGGGATGGGAGGCAATGCTTGGGGGAGACCACGCTGGAGGCTGGGGGAGGAGGCTCCAGGGTCTCCAGGGCCTGGTTCCCACCCAAGAGACGGGCCCCTCCTCGGCCTCCATGGAACAAAGCCCTGGGCTCAGCCTCAGAGGCTGCGGCTCCTGGTGGGGCCAGGGCCATCGGCCGCGAGGGTGGTTCTCTGGGGAAGGCAGGTGCTTGTCCTCAGCCCAGCTCTCGGGACCTCGGTTCTGAGGTCGGGGGTCCACCACCCGGGCATACAAAGCAGCCCAGGGAGCAGCCTACTCACAGGAGATACGGCGAGTGGCTCTGCCCCTCTGTCCTTCTGTCCCTCTGTCCCACTGTCCCTTGTCTCCCTGCTCCTCTGTCCCTATTCCTCTGGCTCTTTGGCCCCTATAGCTCCACTCTGTCCCCCTGTAGCACTAATTTCACTTTCACACTATTAAACCTCATGATTTTAGATTCAGATAAGACACTGTCACTGCAATATGTTAATTTGAAGTAGTGATGACGTACTTTTTTGGTACATTTTTTTCTTGCAAACTCAATAGCATGTTGATCTTACTGAGAGAATTAAAGTGACACTTTCCATATGAAAGTACATAATTTCTTCTCTCTGTGTGTCCTCTTTGAAACACTCCAGGCTTTATAAACAAAAATACTAATTGAGTTCGCACCTGTCGATCTCCCCAGGTGAGAGCAGACTGCAGAGTCCCCCCATCTCCCCAGGTGACAGCAGACTGCACAGTCCCCCCATCTCCCCAGGTGACAGCAGACTGCAGAGTCCCCCATCTCCCAGGTGAGAGCAGACTGCAGAGTCCCCCATCTCCCAGGTGAGAGCAGACTGCAGAGTCCCCCATCTCCCCAGGTGAGAGCAGACTGGAGAGTCCCCCATCTCCCAGGTGAGAGCAGATTGCAGAGTCCCCCATCTCCCAGGTGAGAGCAGACTGCAGAGTCCCCCATCTCCCAGGTGAGAGCAGACTGCAGAGTCCCCCCATCTCCCCAGGTGAGAGCAGACTGCAGAGTCCCCTCATCTCCCCAGGTGAGAGCAGACTGCAGAGTCCCCCCATCTCCCCAGGTGAGAGCAGACTGCAGAGTCCCCCATCTCCCCAGGTGAGAGCAGACTGCAGAGTCCCCCATCTCCCCAGGTGAGAGCAGACTGCACAGTCCCCCCATCTCCCCAGGTGAGAGCAGACTGCAGAGTCCCCCCATCTCCCCAGGTGAGAGCAGACTGCAGAGTCCCCCATCTCCCCAGGTGAGAGCAGACTGCAGAGTCCCCTTATCTCCCCAGGTGAGAGCAGACTGCAGAGTCCCCCATCTCCCAGGTGAGAGCAGACTGCAGAGTCCCCCCATCTCCCCAGGTGAGAGCAGACTGCAGAGTCCCCTCATCTCCCCAGGTGAGAGCAGACTGCAGAGTCCCCCCATCTCCCCAGGTGAGAGCAGACTGCAGAGTCCCCATCTCCAAAGGTGAGAGCAGACAGTTCCTCGCGTGAAGGCAGACATGCCATCCCCCACTCCCAGGTGAGAGCAGACTGCAGAGTTTCCCCATTCCCCAGGTGACGGAGCGACTGCAGCGTCCCAATCTCCCAGCGTGAGAGCAGACTGCGAGTCCCCATCTCCCAGGGAGAGCGACTGCAGAGTCCCCCCATCTCCAAAGGTGAGGAGCAGACTGCAGAGTCCCATCTCCCCAGGTGAGAGAGCAGACTGCAGAGTCCCCCATCTCCACAAGGTGAGAGCAGACTGCAGAGTCCCCATTCCCAGGTGAGAGCAGACTGCAGAGTCCCCCATCTCCAGGTGAGAGCAGACTGCAGGTCCCCATCTCCCAGGTGAGAGCAGATACAGAGTCCCCATCTCCCAGGTGAGAGCAGACTGCAGAGTCCCCCATCTCCACAGGTGAGAGCAGACTGCAGAGTCCCCATCTCCCAGGGTGAGAGCAGACTACAGAGTCCCATCTCCCCAGGTGAGAGCAGACTGCAGAGTTCCCCATACTCCACAGGTGACAGCAGACTGCAGAGTCCCCCCGATTCCCAGGTGAGAGCAGTTGCAGAGTCCGCCATCTCCCAGGTGAGCAGACTGCAGAGTCCCCATCTCCCCAGGATGCGAGCAGACTGCGGAGTCCCCCATCTCCCAGTTGAGAGCAGCGCAAGATCCCATCTCCGAGGTGAGAGCAGACTGCAGAGTCCCCATCTCAGGTAGAGCAGACTACAGAGTCCCATCTCCCCATGTGAGAGCAGACTGCAGAGTCCCTCATCTCCCCAGGTGAGAGCAGACTGCAGAGTCCATCTCCCAGGTAACAGAGACTGCAGAGTCCATCTCCCAGGTAACAGAAGACTGCAGAGTCCCCATCTCCCAGGTGAGAGCAGACTGGAGAGTCCCCCGATCTCCCAGGTAACAGATACTGCAGAGTCCCCATCTCCCAGGTAACGAAGACTGAGAGTCCCCCATCTCCCGGTAACAGAAGACTGCAGAGTCCCCATCTCCAGGTAACAGAAGACTGCAGATCCCCATCTCCGTACAAGCTGCAGAGTCCCCATCTCCCAGGTAACATAAGACTGCAGAGTCCATCTCCAGGTAACAGAGACTGCAGAGTCCCCCATCTCCCAGGTGAGAGCAGACTGCAGAGTCCCCCACTCCAGGCCTCAGTGTTCTGTCTCCACCTACCTCTTCTGGCCCTACTCTTGGCCCCTTCTGACTAGGAACCTGCCCTGTGGTCTCAGTGCCTTTCTTGGCAAGGGAAAGGTAACACGATGGTGTGGGGAACATTTTAGAAACAGCTTCTGACCACAGGATCAGGAAGGGACTCTGAACCCCGTGCTACCATTCTCTCCTGTGCCTTCAGATTAAAGTATGTCCCAGGGGACTGGCTGGGAATCCACCTGCTATGCTGTGTGTCCTGTGATACTTTGAGCAAGCCCTGATGATGCAGAGCCATCAGTCATGGCAGCCACAGGTATGTCAGCGGGAGCGAGGGCTCGGACTAGATATCCACAGCCACTGCGGCAAACAGGTGCACAGGGAAGGCTGCTCACTGGGCAAAGACCAAGTCCCAGAGGGAGTTTCAAGTTGCTTCTCTGCTTAGGGCTCTGAATCTGAGTGCACAGGGGTTTCTTTATAATGTCAGCAGGAGGACTCTCAGGTCCAAAGACCATGGCAAAATTTTGTCTTTGTCATCTGAAAAAGTAACTCTGTGCTTTTGGTATCACATTGCACCATGAAAGGAGGTGCACGTGTGCTCAAAACCCAGCTAAGGAAGGGCTGAGACTAAGGACTCCGGTGCCTGCTGGGGTGGCTGGCGTGTTGCTTTGTTTAAAGGATGTTTGCAGCCAATAGCTAGACAATGCAGCATCTCAAAGGCTTTTTTAGTCTGTGTGGTCTTTTTTCCTAGATAATAAGAGAAAGAAGGTAAATCTCTTTCTGAAAATGACTCTATTTGTGTTTGAGACATCAGCGTACTGAGTCAAACCCTTCATTAACGTGGGAAGCATTTCAATGTTTTGCTCTAAGCACACTAGTTAATTCTAAATCTGACTCCCAAATTGTGAACATTGAAAACTGTGAGTGTAAAATCAACCCAAAGGGAAAAAAAAACAAAACAAAACACTGCAAACTGGATAGGTACCACAGTACACATCCCACTCACTAAAAACAGAGTGAGAAAGTGTTGAAAGAAACAGCAGTAAACTTTGGGGAGAATAATGTTAGAAGACTTTGGAACAGAAACCATAAAGTACTTGGGTAGGTTCATTCTGTGATGCTGTGAAACATTCTAAGCAAAGACCATTGAACAGTGAAACAAATCTGCTCTTGCAATTTGTAGAAATTGCTCTTCTTCCTTGCATCCTCTGGAAAAAAACTGCAAACATAACTCACGCTTTCAAACATAAAAATTTACAGGCACGAAAATAAAATATGCACGCAAGCGTTTTCACGACCGGTCTGCGGATCTTTGCACACACAGCCCGGGGCTTCTCACCTTTGCAATTCCCTCTGTACGCGATCTCTAGCTGGGGCTCTTTGCACTTGGCGCGTTGAAATTCGCAGCGGGACAGGAAGGTCCTTCCGTCAGACGCGCAGAGCGGTTTCTGGGGAGAGCCCGGACAGTCCAAGCTGCAGTCTTTGTCTTTATCTTGATCAACTCTCAAAAACTTGGGGGAGAACAAAAAAAAAAGAAGCCATATAAATTTAAAGACATGTTCTGGGAAGCCGCGGAGAACAGGTTATCTAAGGCCACTTCACGGCCGGGGAACGAGACTCGAGGGATGACGCCATTCAGTTTCCACCACTGCCGGAAACATCATGTGAGCCTCCTTGAGCCTCCTAGGCCATCATCTTTCCCCACAGCCTCCGTAATCTGGCAGTTCTCTAGGTCAACATCTGACGTCTGACACACGACATTCGAAACCACTCATCTCTGGGAGGGGACGCACACGTACTCTGTTTTGCTTTTCGTGTTCTGAGTGGCAGTGTGTTTCCTTTTAGTTTGTAAATGCATTTGCTACATTTGCTAATTGACTTCAACGTTTCTATGGTGTCATCTTTTGGGAAGTTGCAAGTGTCAGGAACGTCCCCTCGGAACTGGGAGGTGACCCCTTCCCGACTTAAAGGGCAGCACAGAATTCTGTCTGCATTCTCCGAATCCATCCGTGTGCACCTGTCTGGATCACTGTTTGCCGCCGAGTAAACGTTTGTTGAGTGAGTGAGTGACCTCCTGCCCCGGAGGAAGCTTGCTTAACTCTGTGAAAATGCCCAGCTGAAGACAGAGAGCACAGGGCGACCTCTCGGCCAGGATTCTTGGAAGCGGCTACCGGCAGGAAGACACTCTCTCCCCAGGAGCCCGTGGGGTGCGGGTGTCCCTAAGGGCCATTTTGCACAGCGCTGACTGCTCAGGGTTCTGCTCTCGACCAGTCAAAGTCGAGAGGAGAAGCAGAGACCCTGTGGGGAGGGCCGCCCTTGGGGCCTCGGCTGGGTCCACGGAGCAGGAAGGGCAGGTGCGGCTGACCACAGGTGCAAGCGTGTTCCTGTGGGAACCTCGCAGCGGCCACTTCCCAGCTGCCTGGGGACGGCGTGAGCCAAGAGGCAGGTGGCTGGCACCCGAGGACTGGGGGCCTCCACGCCGGAGGCTGCTCCGGGACAAAGGGGAGAGCTCGTTTCCAAACACGTGCAGTTTCACGTGGCATGCTCTCATTTTCCCTAAGAATAGGTTCACCTGTGAAAATGAGCCATGCTTAACTTGGCTGAAAGTCAAGTGAAAACAGACCCAATTGCCTTTTCAGGGGTTTGTAAAAATAAGTGTTTTTACTTAAAAACGGGCAGCACAAGCACACGAGCACGTGCATTAGCATTCTACCACTGACGAGCTTCCGCGCTCGTTTTCACTTCACCCAAAATGCACGCCCGAAAGAGGGAACACGGCAAGGAGGCGGGACTCTGACCACACGCCACGCTCAGCATGAGTCGCGAGTCCCTTGGTTTGCAATAGCCCACCCCCGTGAATAGCTGCATTCTATCTTGTTAACAGATGAAAAGACAGAATACCCAAATCCCATTAATTTTTATGTTTAAGAGGTAATCTATTAGCATTTCCTAAAACTCTAAGTGAGGAAATGCTGAGGACTTACGTGAGACACTGTAATTACCATTTTCATTTAGAGACAGCCGCTAAACTTTTTATTAAAAAAAAAAAAGAGAGAGAGAGAGAGAGAGAGCCTGGCATTCAGGAATTTGGAATGTGACCATAATTCTTGATAATTTAACGGTGTAGGACTAACAATGGAAGTTTTCTTTCTCAGAAATAAGAGAACACACACTTGGCACACACATCTCTCCCCTCCACATTTTTAACAGCAATTAAGTTCCAAGGAAGACAGTGCATGGGCGAAAGTAAGCTTATAACTAAGTTGTGTCCATTAATAAGCAGAGCCCGTTAAAGAAAAATAAACATCCCTTTTCTAAAGAATTTACTATTTGTTAAAAGAACTTCGTTGAGGGTCTTCGAACCAATTCAAGATCAAAGGCGCTTTGCCAATTTAGAATGCAACCAGTCAGACTTCGAGCGACTTTATGTACAAAGAAACCCCTGAGGATCTCAGGTGTTGCCCATTTCTTTTTTATGTCCACAAAGCAGCGCTGTTTGCACAGGTGCGAGGTGAGGGGTAGAAGAAAGCTGCGAGGTGCACAGGAAGCGTCTTTGTGGCCCGAGTAGCTCACGCGTTAGAAAGTCAGGAGATCAAACAATGGATCAAAGACACGGCCTTGTGTTTTTCTTAAGCAATTCCTGGCTTCAAGCCAGAAGGAAAAGTTTAAAACAAAATCAAACCATTTAAGAAATGGGCTAAAACAGTCTTCACTCTTCACACGGATCGATTTTCCCACTGTAATATATTGATTAGAGACTCTTTTTAAACCGATTATGATACGGGCCATCATACGGTGTGAGACCACACTAAGAAAATTTCAGCTTGGAAAGATACAATTCTGTGGCTGTAAGATTTGAAAAAGCAGGTGCTTCTCAATGTGAGGCCACAGGCAGGTGAAATAGATAACTTCCCAGACGGTCTGCTTTCTCCAAGGAGGAGTAGGATGGCAGGGTTAGGGTTAGAGTTGGGGTTAGGGTTGGGGTTGGGGTTAGGGTTAGGGTTAGGCTTAGGGTTAGGGTTGGGCTTAGGGTTAGGGTTAGGGTTAGAGTTAGGGTTAGGGTTGGAGGTAACAGTCTGGCCTGGCTGCGTGGCTACCAGGTCAGGCCTGCTGTAAAGAATGGTTTCTCCATTTCAGAGCCTGGACTTTCTTAGTTCAGGAAAGAACACCCCACTCTTATAGTGTAACAGACAATCTAAGTCTACAATTCCCAGTTCAAAATTATTCTTCAAGGCCTGACATCCGACGCTGAATTGTTAAAGCAAAGCACAATTTGTTTTCTCCCAGAAAGTCTGTCACTTCGTTCATTCACTCCTTCATGCATTCATTCATTCGATGGATGTAATGTCGCCACTTTGTATCTTAGAGACTCCTTACTTCATATTTTCATTGGCTTTACTTCCTTTTTTTCCTTTTTTAAACTAATAGTGAAGCCTCTTCTTTCCATGTTAGCTCTAAAGTAGCTTGTATCGAAGTTATTAAGTCATTATGAAGCGGCTACTTTCTGTGAAGGGCATTTTTCCCGACTGCAGGAAGGTGGAGATTCAGAGAGGGCCGTTCCCTAGCTGGGTGCAAACCCTGGGGTGCAGAGAGCACAGCATGAAATGACCGCCACGTGGCAGACAGCAGAACACAAGTCCCCATGCCGACTGGGGGTGGGGCGTCCACTCTGATCGGGGGGATCACAGCGTGTTCTAAAAGATCTTCTGAGAACGAGAAGAGATGTGAGACCCAATCCCGGGAGACAAATCCACAGACGTGATCCACACAGATGATGCCAGAGGACAGACTCCTCGCAGAATCTGTCCCATTTTTAGTCCGGTTTTCGATGCCTACTGATGCACAGGACCAAATGGCAGCATTTGTAGGCACCGATTGTCGGCTGGTGCAGCCGGACTCGGCCGCCTGTGGCTTGTGCAGGACACTCAGCGGCCATCAACACTGCCACTGGCAGGGCAGTGACAGCCTTTGGCTCCAAAGCGACAGATCGAGATTTAATTTTGATTCTGCGTTTTCCCACTTCTGCAATCTCTCTGCTCACCTGCAGAGCGGGAGTGAGGCTGCTCTGGAAGGAAATGAGGAGCTTTTAGGACGCAAATGAGGACTGAGAAGGCAGCAGTGGCCGGGGGAGGGTGTGAGCTCCAGGCACTAGCAGAGGCCCCCGATGGCGGCCTGGGAAGCGTGGGCATGGCGCCGGGAGTTAGGGTTCTGGGTGGTGCCGGTTTCGTAGCAGTAACCGTGAGATAGAACGGGCACTGCACGGGGAGTGGTTGGAGCAGTGTGAGAGACTTGCAATAAGCCCCCGAGCGGCTCGCCCGCTCTGTGAGCGCGGGGCGTTTGCCGTGCACCTCCCCACGGCGGAGAATTTTGTTTCGCAGGACGAACAAGAGGAGGCTCCCGTTGGGCATCGCTTCCACGGAGACAATTAGGAGCGAGAAAAAAATAAGAGAGTGAAATTAGAGGTTCAGGAAGAGGAAACAGGTTTCTGGGGGGAGCTTCAGACGGAGGAAGGAAAACCTGGGTGCTGGAGGGCAGCCCCCCAGCATCCGGCACTGGGGACCCCCCAGCTGGGGAGCAGCCAGGCCCCCCGGCCCACTCGCACCCAGGACCGCCCACCCCAGCAGCCCCGCCATGCTGCCAGGCGGAGATCCGGCCACGGAAGCGGGACACACAGAGGCCTTGGCTGTTCTCTCTTTATCTGCCACGTTGCCTTTATCGTCTGTCCCAGTGGACGGGGAGCTTTTACGAGTGCTTTTACAGCTCCTTCCTGCCCGTGGCCCCTGAGCCAACCCCCCTGCGACCCTTTAGTCCCTGCTCACCCTCACCTTCTTTGTGGGGAGCCACAGCCCCGACCAGGTGGCAGGTGAGGGTGGCAGGTGACTTGGGCAGGTGAGGGCAGCAGGTGAGGGCTGCTCATCCTGCCCAGCACTCTGGTCTCTCCCTCTCATCTCCACAACACTTGTCTGCACTCGGTTCCTGCCCTGCCCCCACCCCCAGCGCATCTCCATGACGACAGTATGCATTTCTGTGACTTGTTTTTAATGTTCAGAGATACTGTGTTTCCCTCAAAATAAGACAGGGTCTTATATCTAAAGAAGACACCCTAGGGCTTATTTTCAGGGATTTTTTTTAAGTACAGTATAACAGTCTACATTTATTCAAATACAATTAAGTCGTCTTCTTCTGCAACATCATCATCACTCTCCAAAGCCCGAATTCCATCCTGAATGTCTTGCGACTCTATTTCCTTTAGAACCATCAGCCCCCAATCTCTCATGTTGAGCACTAGAGCTCTCATGGGGCAGACGAGAAGGGCTGCTCGTCTTCTTCACTGCTCCATGACAAAATGCACAGATTGTGCAGATGCGCTGCGTACCCACGCCCGTCACTAGGTCTTATTTTCGGGGTAGGGCTTCTATGGCACAAATGCTTAGAAATCCTGCTAGGGCTTCTTTTATGGGTAGGTCTTATTTTCAGGAAAACACGGTAACTCTTGGGTTATTCATTATTCCAGCTTTGTGTTTCTGTGAGATCAGCAGGCACTTTGTGATTCTAAAATTT